ATGCATAAAAAAAAAACTAAACTAATCGCCTGCTGACTGAATATATCTAATACAGTACACGGATCCATTCAGAATAACTAAACACAGCAACATACACATGACAAATCAAAACATTATCATGAATGTGTGTGGAAACAACGTGGATGTATGGAAATGTCTGTGCTGTGCATAAATACAATGTGCGATCAGTGTGTCAAGAGCACTCTTACACGCATTAATATAACGGACTCATGCGTGCTTACTGTACGACTCCTATACGCCACCGCAATTGTCTTTACCTTGATTGCAGTCTTCATCCATCAAAACTTTACTAGCGAGAATGGTTATCCAGTCGCGTCTCATCTGGCCATACAGTGGTGGGATGTGTTGTCAATCCGTTCAGTCTGTACTTTACACAGCGCGTGTGACATGTGAGGGCTCGCGCTCTTCAGAGACAATCACAGAATATGACAGAGCTTGTGTTTTAAAGCGAAACACACTGGAATGAATAATTCACTGAAAACACACACACACACACACATTATATATATAGACCTCTTATTTTCATAGTCCTTTGTTTAGCTTTGTTCATGTAACCCGCTGATGGTGAGTCTTTGACAAGTTCAAGTTTATGTTCAGGTTAAAGTGATCAATATGTTTCCCAAAGTCAACAACAGTCGCAAGTTTTGTCATTATCAACAGAGTTCAACAGAGCTTGTGACCATATTATATAGGACTTGCAGTAAAAAAAAAAAATACAACAGTTTGTTCTATCATTTTGTTTTATTTAATGTTATGTTAGAATTAAAATGAAAAGTTTAGTTCTATTTGAATTTAGGCAATGTTTTAGTTATATAGCTCAGTTATTTTGAGCAGATCCAGTGAACTGATGTCTGTGTTTTTCCATTGTGCTGAAGAGTGACGTTTGAGCTCAGGTTGTGGGCGGCTGTTGTGCGTCTGAATGTTCTCTATGATTGAACACCATAGCCATCATCCTACAACCAAACCACAAGCTCTCTTCAGCACAATGGTTACCACAAAACACTTCAACTCTTAGAAAAGCTCAAAATAACTGAACATCCCTTTACTCAAACATGCATGAAATAACACTTAATTTCAACATTTACTCTCCCAGCTCAGTCCTGTGCAAAGCATGCTGGGAACTAAACATCTATGCAGTTACAGTGAATGCAGCAAAAATGACTAACTAAAAACGAATAGATTAAATCAACTTTACAGTTTTACATATTTAAGTGGACTGAACACAATGAAATTAGGTACTGATAAAATATTCAAAAATTGTGTTTCTCTAGCTCATTTGAATTAAGTAAATTGAACAAGCAGTAAAAATCATCTTCCATAATCTTCCATTCAGACACATAATCCCCAGCATTTCTGTCTTGCATGTTGTTCTTGGCCTTCAGCTGCTCATATCAATATTTTGTGCATAAAGAGACGGCCTGCATCGCGTTCATTCATTTATGAGTTTTACTCGTGTTACTTTGACAGAACAACTTAAGTAAAGCTGAGGAGACACTTTATTTAATTGAAACAACTCTTTCAAGCAGCTTTCGACAGCTTGTGCATCGGCTTGTTTTGTATTCATGTTTCTTTGTTTTCATGCCTTGTTCAATCGTCTCTTTGTAACTGTGTTTAGTTATTGTGGAAATATGGATATTGCAACGGGCCAAAAGTTTGCAAAATCATTGCAGGGATAAAATTGGTTTGGCATTGTGCCATCAAATTTGTTGATGTTTCAAACAATAACCGACTATGGCATAATTGGTATCGTTGATCTCGGTTTGACTCAAGGAATCTATCAAAAAAACAGATTCATTACAATAGTAAAACTTCAAAGTTATTATTTTTGGAAATTTCAATACAGCCAAAAATTTTACCGACTTTAACAACAAATTCAAAGTAGCCGTCTTGTAAAGCATCTCTGAAGCTTTAAACAGCTCAATCTGTGTCACAGCACACAAATCCTGAATCATCAGCCGTCAGAGTGACTCGTGCTGCTGTGAAATCCACCAGCCGAAGGGAAAATGTGCTGGAGTTTGGCGTTTATAGTGTTAAGAAAGGACTCTGGATCTGATGTGTTTTCTCAGGGCTGGAGAGAGAAAAGCAGCACGTTATGATCCATGAGCAGAAACACTCGCTTCTTCAGAGACGCTAATGTTAATAGTTTCAAAATACTTTAAAAACTGTTTTAGAGTTAATTCTCTACAAGTGAGTCTTGGATAATGGAAACCTTTTAACTAACAAATTTGATCACTGATAATTTAATGATTTTATTTCTATTTAATGACATGCAGACTGAAAGAAAGAAGTGAAACTAACAGTAATGTGAAGAATAGCCTGTATATTGTGTTTAGAGCAGATGTGGTTTGAGTCAGTGTGGTTGACAATATGCAGATCTCACACTGAAGAACATGTTTCACAACCGCTGTCGTGTCAGAGTCTCTTCCCCTGTGTTTCTCCATGTTAGTGGTTATGGTTATGGTTACACAGTTTATAGGAAACATAGGAGGAACAGAGTTCAACACAACACTGGCATCAGTCAGTGCTCGGCTCTCGAGGGAAGATTTAATCTGTTGAGGTGTTTACAGAATGACTGTACATTAAAACTGCCTGAACTGTTATTGAATATCAACCACAAGTGAGGGACTGTTCCTATTACAGTATAAGTGTACTGTACATTACATTTAAGCGTCAACAAAAAGACATATTAGTAGTGAAATCTTCTTGAATTCGAGTGGATATTGTTGTGAAGAAACTCGGTTCGCTCTCAGAAGAATCAGTCGAGACTCTGAGTTCCAGAAGTCTAAATTAGACTTTATTGCACAAAGACACCAAACCCGGGATGCCAACAGTTAATCTGTGTGTATGTTACTCCCCTTACATTCCACATTTATTTATTAGCTCTTTCTTTTAAAGAACAATTCTTCTTTAATTGTGGGATCTTACTTGTTGGTCTATTAACCTTTTATTTAACCCTTTCCAGGAGCCACATATATTACACATTAGCTGTCAACGCTTTTTGTGTGCAACATACACATTACTCATCCTTTTACCTTCATACAATTACAGTCACGTACACCATGAGGCCTTCAAAATGCATCTGGCTTTCATAATATCAAAACAACTTCAACAAATGTCTTTTATAGGATAAATAACATATCTCATCAATATTTACAGGAGAAATATGAAGCAACACTTCTGGCACAGCGTCACTAGCAGCTCTAGTACATTTCAACACTCAGTCTGTAGATCAGAGGAAGTGAAGAAACACAGGAGGAGCTGATAGTATTTAAAGAAAGAGTTGAGAGCATATAATGAAGAGGAAGACTGAGAGATAGAGAAAATGTCTGATGAGTGTCATCTGTGTCTGCTGGGACTGATCGTTCTCTCTTCACTTCTCACAGGTAAAGAAATCTGTGTTTTCTCTACAAGACATTCAGTGGAATTAGTCTGAGAAAGAGTTCATTTGAACACGATCAGTTTCTTCTTGTGTTTCACACAGAACATACTGGATTATTCCTGAACGCACTAAGGCCATGTCCACACGTACACGGGTATTTTTATAAACAGAGTTTTTCCTTCTTCCGTTTTTAAAAAAATCTCCGTCCACATGAAAACGCAATAGCATGCTATGAAGCACTGTCAAGAGCATGCCTAACCAACAGGTGGCGATATAATCTCAACCGTAAAGCCATGTTGGCCAATCAGAAGCCTGAAAAAGTTTCCAGTAGGCGGAGATAACAGCGCAGGCTCCTATGTCACAAGCCAAAAACTAGACAGTTTTACACACAAACATCTGATGTAGAGCCCGACCGATATGGGTTTTTTGGGGCCGATACCGATACTAGGGAGTAAAAAAAGGCCGATACCGATATATCGGCCGATATTCCTTGTGTATATTATAGTACAGTACCAGTCAAACGTTTGGACACTTTCCCATTCGTGTGTCCAAACATTTGACTGGTACTATATATAGAATACAGTATATACATAAACAGAATATATATACATAAACACATTTTTTGCAATGATCACTCAAATGTGGTGATCAAACACTTATAATGGTGACAGAGATATGTAAGGGCATTTAACAATTTAACAATAAACTTGCGATGAGTGCGATGCACAAAGTAACGGGGTGTTAGTTGTAACACGTGGTTTGAATATTTATTTTACCATAGTAACATTTAAATTCTGGCTTAAGTAAATTTTTTATCTCAGTTTTTATTATTCATTTAAAATGAGACAAATCTACTATTATTTTAATCTCCAATCTGTTATTTATCAGTTCAGATAGTTTTTTAATTTCAGAGCAAATGTGTGGCTGACAGTATGCAGATCTCACACTGAAGAACATGTTTCACAACGGCTGTCGTGTCAAAGTCTGTTCCCCTGTGTTTCTCCATGTTAGTGGTTATGGTTATGGTTACACAGTTTATAGGAAACATAGGAGGAACAGAGTTCAACACAACACTGGCATCAGTCAGTGCTCGGCTCTCGAGGGAAGATTTAACCTGTTGAGGTGTTTACAGAATGACTGTAGATTAAAACTGCCTGAACTGTTATCACTGAACATCAACCACAAGTGAGGGACTGTTCCTATTACAGTATAAGTGTACTGTACTTTATATTTAAGCATCAACGAAAATAAATATATGTACTGAAATCTACTTGAATTTGAGTGGATATTGTCGTGGAGAAACTCTCAGAAGAATCAGAAATAATGACTTCCAGAAGTCAAAATTAGACTTTATTGCACAAAGAAAAGAAAAAAAAAGAAAAAAAAAATTAGATGCCAGATGTTCATTTGAAATAGTTTCATCAATATTTACAAGAGAAATGTGAAGCAAGACTTCTCCAGTATGACACTATATAATTTAGCAACATTTCAACACTCAGTCTGTAGATCAGAGGAAGTGAAGAAACACAGGAGGAGCTGATAGTATTTAAAGAAAGAGTTGAGAGCAAATAATGAAGAGGAAGACTGGGGGAAAGAGAAAATGTCTGATGAGTGTCATCTGTGTCTGCTGGGACTGATCGCTCTCTCTTCACTTCTCACAGGTAAAGAAATCTGTGTTTTCTCTTCAAGACATTCAGTGGAATTAGTCTGAGAAAGAGTTCATTTGAACACCATCAGTTTATTCTTGTGTTTCACACAGAACATACTGGATTATTCCTGAACGCACTAAAACTAGACAGTTTCACACTCTAACATCTGATGCTGAATTATTTTCATATTGAGAGTGTGTTTGTGATTCGAACAGCTCTCTGATAAAGAAACATAGTTTATTCTGGAGAGTGTGCTGTTTGTATTAATTGAGGAAAAAATTATCTTCAGTTTTTTTTATACTGGTATGTTTTATGTCTTAATTTATTAATATATAGTATAATAATCATTCATATGTTCTTGTGTTTCAGGTATCAGTGAAGAGGATGTGACTCATGTGCCTGTGTTCATCAGTTCTGGTGAAAATGTCCGTCTGTCCTGTAATAATGCTCTTCCAGACTGTAACTCAACTATATGGTTCTATAACAGATTCAGAGATTCAGCAGCAGTTGAACTGATTGGTTTAGGGAAAAAGAAGAAAGACACAGAGAGACATGAGAGACTGAGTCTGGGGCCTGACTGCTCTCTGAACATCAACAACATCTCAACAGAAGATTATGGATATTACACCTGCAGACAATATGTGAATGACAAACAACAAGGAACTGATGCTCGTGTTTTTCTGCATATTCTTCATGGTATTTTTATGATTATGTGGTCAATTTAAAAAGTTAAATTCTTCATTTAATCTCCCATGAGGATTGAAGAGTCTGTAATTTGTGTGTTATTTTGTGTTTCAGTCTCTTCATCCTCCTCCTCATCCTCACAGACTGAGATCAGTGCAGGCCGCTCTGTGACTCTCTTCTGTCAGTTGTATTCATTTGCTGAAGGCTCTTGTGATGATTGGATCCGTTCTGAGAGAATTGAGCTGTTCTGGGTGAATCAGACTGGTGTTAAACTGACGAGATCAGACTCCAGATATCAGATATTATCCTCATCAGATCACTGTATCATCACTCTGACTACAACACTCCTGAATGAAGATCACAACAGAGAGTGGAGATGTGAAGTTACTCACAGAGATCAAGTCAAGAGCTCAGTCACATACACTGTCAAGAGTTCAGGTGAGAAAGAGAGAGATCTTATTAATCAGTTTTAGACCGT